ATTGGCGTCGATCAATGGTCGCCACGCACAAACAAGACTTTGTTCAGAACCGACTTAAAGTCCCAAGTCTACACATAATTACAAGATTACACCTGATAAGCTTTTACCTAGTTTATAGGGGTTTCTGCCATTGTTAGGCAGAGTACCGCACTTTTGTTTTCCATATTTTCTTATTATTGTTTTGGGGAGAAGATCAAAACTTCTTCCATATCTTTTTATTGGAACCTCTGTTTATTTTCTACGCATTCTATTCAGACTTTTGCTATTGATTGCTTGATAATGTCTAAGTAGTTCATCTTGGTAGATTTAGGGTTCTAGATGGTATTGATGGATTCTCAAAACTAGGATTGCTAAAAGAACTAATATCCTTTGATTAGAATAATTCTTAATGCATGTGATTTAGAGTAGCTAACTAAATCCTAAACTTAGGACATAGACAACTACGAGAATAGGTTCTTTGCCTGAATCATATTCTGATTGAGCTAGGGTTGTTAGATGCATGCGACAGCTGGTCGACCAATTCTAGTGGATTATCAATTCATCATAACCGTTGATCGATATTGGTGTTCCACCATCGATCGACAATCATATTTGTAGGCAATTGATTTCTCGTGTATTATATTTACTTGCACCCTACCTATTATAATCCACGTGCATAAACCTAGATCTAGCTATTTTCTTTATCTTTATTAACTTAAAACTAACCAATTTACTTTTTACTTAAACCTGAATTCCTATATAAGTATTTCACCTAGCTTAACCATTAGGATCCTACAAATTTATTGTGTGCATTTGGATACTTCCTAAATCCAGCTATCCACTACGCCAAGTATTTCACCTAGTTTTAACATGAAGCAAAAGAAGTATGAGAAGGCGTTTGAGATCATTGATAGAAGGTAGGATTGTTAGCTTCATCAGCCTCTTCATGCAGCTGGATACTTTCTGAATCCAGCTATCCACTACACTAAGCCTGAAGACATGTGTTGTGAAGAAGTTGAGACTGGTTTATACAACTGTATCAACAGGTGATGCTGGAGATTGATTTGTTTAAAAAGGATAGTAGTCTCCTTGAACATATCATGGCAATAAGGCAAAGGGAGATGAAAGCACCAGGTAAAATATTACAATACATTTAGCGTTCTTTTGTTATTGTGAGTTCTAAACTAATTCAGTGTCATTTGTGTTTCTTTATAGCTGATTGGTACTCTACTCAAGGATAATCAGCTCATAATCTAAGAGAATTTGTAATGAAAGTACTAAGCCTAACTTGCAGTGCATCTAGATGTGAAAGGAATTGAGGTGCTTTTGTGCTTGTAAGTCTACTTATATTCATCTTATTTCGTAGTCAGATTAATTCTAAAATTTATTAATGATTGTTCTTCAAATTTTTGTAGCTTCACACAAAGAGAAGGAACCGTTTAGCACAACATTGGTTGAATGACATGGTGTATGTCAAGTACAACCGAGCCTTGCAACACCGTTTGAAGAGAAGTGATAGCAGTGATCCTAATATCTTGGAAGAGACTGATGAATGTAATGAATGTCTGATGGAAAGAATGGATGGAAACTCTGATAATGCTGATCTAGAAGATCATGTCATTGAAAATGAAGATCTGACATGGAGTGCAATGAAGGAATCAACAGGAGCTGAGGAACCTAACTACACAACTAGAAGAGTAAAGGCTCAGCAGCGGCTGACAAAGAGAAAGGAAATGCATCATCTTCTCAGCCAAGACAGAAATGATATGGTCCAGGTCCTTCTCCTATGTCTCTTGTTGATGTCGATGATGAAGAATTGTAACATGATTTGCAAGCAGGTGGCTTTGGTCAGGAGGAGGAATTAGAGTTCCAAAATGACTATGAAAGAGAGTTTTGGTTTTTAAGTTATGTTTTGGTTTTATATTTATCGTGTCTTTATCTAAGTATAACATAATTGACAACGTTAAGTGTAGAAGGTTACTTTTTAGTCGTGTGAAACACAAAGCGATCGCAATGCATCGCCGTAGCGCTTGGCAAGAGTCAAACTCGTGGACGTCAAACCTTTCCATATGCAATTTAAAACCAAATAATACTCCTATCTGTTTATTTGACAAGATTTTGTCATAAAACAAGCATATGGATTTACGAATGACCAGTACACGGTTGAATCTGGATATTGGGTAGCTCGGAACTTATTGGATGAAAAGGAGGTATTGGAGCCCAGTATAACTAATCTCCAAACTTTTCTTGGACGATAAATGCATCTCAAAAGATATGTCATCTTATATGGCAATTGATACCAAGACATGTCGTAGTAACGAGGAACTTGATAAGTCATAATATGAGATGCGATAACTTTTGTCTGAAATGTGGAGAGCCAGAGGAGTCTGTTAGTCACGCTATTTCTGAATGTCCCCTAGCTCTACAAGCTTGGTCCTTATCAGCGACCGCAACAAGTCATGTTATCTTTCTGGTTTAGAGTATCTATGCAAATATGGATTGTCTTTTCAGGAGAAAGAACATTATTGCTGAATCAGAACTAGAGAGGGATCCTTATCCCTAGATAATCTGGTATATTTAGAAGGTCTGGAATAATAAACTCTTTAGGAAGATAGACAGAGATCATTGAAGCTAGTTTATTATGTAGAGAGTGGGTGTCAAGCTTAATTTAATGCAAATGAGATGGTGTCATCTACTCCAAAAGACCACATCATAGAGGAACCATAAGTCTTAAGCTTGGGTAACATCTGCATGCTAGATGGGTCATGGACATCTACAACATAGTTCAGCGGGTGTGGATGGGCTTTGTTGGACAGCTTTTGGGAAAAATTCAACTTATGCACACAGAATTATCCACGGTAAGAGTCTGTCTTACGATGGACAATACAAAGTATGCTCCAGCATTCGACATGTCAGAGCTTTGAGACGGATTATAAAAATTTGATCATATGCTTAAAGAACCTCATGTTTGACCAAGGTTCGGAGAAGATAAAGACGTTAGCTTCCCGAACTTCAAGATTATTCATATTTCAAAAACGCAAAATCTAATTTTTGATTCGTTAACTATGACATTGTAAAAAAAAAAGTCATAAGGATTTAAACTATTTTCTGACCAAAATTTCAGTTTTGAAACACGCTATTGCACATTACATGGACGCTTGGAAGTCATGGTACAGCGAAGTTACCCAGAAGAATCCATTACCAAACACATCACAACACCATTCGAGATTGTTCTTCTCTTTACGTGTGAACTTTCATTTTGTTCTTCTCTTTACGTGTGAACTTTCATTTTTGGCCACTGTGCGATGTTGTTTTTCCTCACAATTGTGACGGCAGGAATCTGACATTGAAATGCAGTTGTATTTAACTTGTACTAGATTTTGACCCGCGCTTAAAAGCGCAGAAATTTTTTATGATTAAAAATTTAAATAATTGGAGTTTTGTCTTAATTTAAAGAATTTTTAGTATAAAATCAGTTCACCAAAATTTGTGGTGATGATTGTTTTTCATTAGTTTTTAGTTTCAATTTTTATTTTTAGATTTTGTTTTAGATTTTGATTTTTTGGGTTTTAATTTTTAAGTTTCTATTTTTGATTTCAGCTTTTGGTTTGAGTTTTTAATTTTTAGATCCGCTGAGTTAATTTGAATTGATATTACCCAATTTTTTTATGATTAAAAATTTATATAATTGGGATTTTGTCTTAATTTAAATAATATTTTGGTATAAAATCACTTCACCCAAATTTGTGGTGATGATTGTTTTTCATTAGTTTTTAGTTTCAATTTTTATTTTAGATTTTGATTTTTTGGGTTTTAATTTTTAAGTTTCTATTTTTGATTTCAGCTTTTGGTTTGAGTTTTTAATTTTTAGATCCGATGAGTTAGTTTGAACTGATATTACCAACAAACAAATCTCAATTAATCGAACATGTAATTTATAACTGAAAAGATAACAAAATAATTTTCTAAAAATTTTGAAATAGTTTATTTTTTAGTAAAAAGCAAAAAATATAATTCAAGCGCAGAAATTTTTTATGATTAAAAATTTATGTAATTGGGTTTTATCTTAATTTAAAGAATGTTTTGGGATAAAATCAGTTCACCAAAATTTGTGGTGATAGTTGTTTTTCATTCATTTTTAGTTTCAGTTTTTTTTTTAGATTTTGTTTTAAATTTTGGTTTTTAGTTTTTAAGTTTCTATTTTTGATTTTCAGCTTTTGGTTTGGGTTTTTAATTTTTAGACCTGCTAAGTTAGTTTGAACTGATATTACGAACAAACAAATCTCAATTAATCGAACATGTAATTTAAAACTGAAAAGATGACAAAATAATTTTCTAAAAATTTTGACATAGTTTATTTTGTAATAAAAAAAACAAAAAATATAACCTGCGTTTTCAGCTTTTGGTTTTGGATTTTAGTTTTTAGATTTGGTTTTCGGTTTTGCTTTACATTTTTTAATTCTGTAAATTATTTAAGAAAAATAAAAGAATAAATTATTTAAAAGTTACCATTAAAATTTATCAAGATAGAGTGATTGTTATTTAAAATAAAAATATTAACATGTTTTAAAGTACATGATTTAAATAAGTGATTAATAATAGATAATTTTGTTTTGTTGAAAATATTAAATATTTTTGGGCTAAAAATATTAACATAAAATATTAACATGTTTTAAAGTACATGATTTAAATAAGTGATTAATAATAGATAATTTTGTTTTCTTGAAAATATTAAATATTTTTGGGTATGAAATAGTAATTGATTTTTGATCTATTAAGGTGGAAAGTTTATTTAATGTTTTTTGGAGTTTTTCTTTAATACTAAACCCAAAAACCAAACAATTAAATGTCATAAAAACAAAATTAAACCTAAAACTCTATTCTATAAATAACCGCCAATTCAATCAATTATAAAACTTATATTATTTGTAACACTCTAGAAAGGGTTCAAATTTAAATAACAACTTGTATCAGTAAATAAAAAGAATTACTCTATTTTAATAGAATATAGATAAAAGTGTATAGCATTGTTTTAAGAGAAAAAAAAAACAATGTTTGATTCGGAAATAATCAGTTCGTAACCAGCCCTATATAAAATGTAAAAGTAGAACTCAACCAAAAACTAGTTTGCAAGTAGAACCGGAGAAAATTTATATGGATATTATGTTTTCTTTTAGGTCGCTAGTGTGGGACGTCACAATACCGTCTCTTTTAAACAGGGACGTTTTTGATAATGATGAAGAGTAATCACGACGTCCTCTCATTATTACATCTTTAAGGAAACATCACGAAGTATAGTGTTTTGACTCAAAGCTTGGAAGGAGCTTTGTACCATCCCCATGGTTCATTAGAGATATACTGCGTCACCTGCTTCACACTCAAGTAGTTCTCAAGTCCCCTGCAAGGAAGCATATGTTGTTTCAGTTCAACGCAAATACAAACAAATTGGTCTTTTTGGGACTTGGATTCTTTTAATGTTTTGGTACTCTTCATAGTTATAGCAAATATATAGACACTTACCATTCTCCAAGTTCACGGCCAAAACCACTGCGTTTGGTTCCACCCCATGGAGCTTGGCAGAAACATGGCTGAGAGCAATTGACCCACACAATACCCGCCTCGAGTGCCTGTAAACACACAATGATCATGATTCATAAACTCAAGAGATGAAATCGAATCACCAGATGCGTGCAGTTACTCTTGTTTTTTTTTTTACTAATAGTAAATTAGATACCTTACTAATGCGATCACACCTCTCCAGATCATTTGATAATACAGCGCCTGCCAATCCATATCTACACATGCAAATAAAGTCGGGCACAAAGTGTTATATACTTATCAGTGGAGTTTCTTGTTCATGAGAAGAAGAAAAATCTTAAACTCACTGGGAATCATTTGCCAGCTGAATTGCCTCATCCTCGGTGGAGAACGTTTTGACACACAGAACAGGACCAAAGACTTCGTCTCTCCAGATTTCCATTGAAGTAGTCACATTTGATATTATAGCAGGTTCAACAAAATAACCCTTCTTTAAATGCTGCATAAATAAATAAAAGAATATTAAGTGCTAATAGTATTTGGAAATACACAGAAGATTAGTCTTGATCTGTCATGTACCTCAGGACGAGCTCCTCCGCAGAGGACAGTTGCACCTTCCTTCCTAGCGTTTGAGACAAATTTCACTACTTTCTCGTACTGCACATGTTTAAGATGTAAGACTTAGCTAAAAGTCGTTCTTGACTAACCCCACTTGATAGATAAGAAGGTTTTGGGGGTATAATTAGCTGTTTCATAAGAATATCAATTTACGTTCAGTTATATCACCTGTCCTTTGCTGACAACAGGACCAAGCCTACAGCCTTCTTCAAAAGGATTTGAAATCTTAATGTTCTTTGTCCACTTTACCAACTTGTCCAAAAATTTGTCAGCAATCTTTTCCTGGCATATTACCAGAATTTTCTTTTCATCAAAACAACATTACTAGATGTATAGTGAAGCTTCTGTGTCCTACTTTTAACAATGGTTTCCAAGGTTTTACAATCACTGATACTAATCTACATTCTATTAGAATTGCAGATGAGCAATCTTAACCACAAAAGGAAAGAAAAAAAACCTACCTAACTGCGCATTGCGGGTTTCATGTACAGGAAAAGCTAAGAAAAGTCTTTATATTTGGTGCTTATTTCAGGACTAGAATAAACTAGACTATTAGAGAAAGTCGATAATTCATTTCCCATAGCAAACCTTTAATTTTAATGCAAATAGCTTCTATAGAGCAGCTATGGGTGGATGCGAAATTATGTGTTTAAGCATATCTATTACATATCATATACAATTAGGTGAAATATTTGTAATCAGAGACTACTGCAGATTCTATGCTCACTTACATGCACGAGAAGTCGAGATGTCGCACTGCAAATCTGACCGTTAGTCCAGAAACAACCAAACATAGTCCATTCCACAGCTGATTAGAACAAAAACATTGTCAGTAATTTATCAATAGTTAAGAAAACATATAGCATCGTTCTCTTAAGGTTCTAAAAGCACTAACCTTTGTCAATTTCAACATCATCAAAGACAATGATAGGGCTCTTTCCCCCAAGCTCCAAGGAAACAGGCTGTGGAATAAAAAAAAGTGAGATTCATACTCAGACCCCGAAGATTTATAGGTCATATGAGCAGAAGCCAGATAGATACTTGTTCCAAAGGAAAGCAAAACGAACACGTGGACTTACTTTAACCAATTTGGCAGCAGAAGTCATAATGTTGCTTCCAGTTGCCGTGCTTCCAGTGAAAACAATCTGGTACAGGATAGAATATCAATACTTTAACTAAAAAAGAAAAATCGAAGTATAAATGGTCTATCCTCAGTTGTTCGACTTTCTCTTTACTCTTAAAGATAAAACTGACTATTATCAGACCTTGTCAACGTGTGAATGCGATGCCAATGGAGCACCTGCTTCAGTTCCTAAACCAGTCAGAATATTAAGAACACCAGGTGGCAGACCAACCTCGCGGCAAATATCAGCTAGCTCCAAACATGTGCTGAAGTAAAACCACATTAGATTGGCGAGTTCATGAACTAATAGAAGGAATACTACGGTGTCAACAGAAATCAAATACGCACACGGAGGCCAACTCTGAAGGTTTCAGTATTGCCGTGCACCCAGCAGCAAGTGCAGGAGCGACTTTCCAGACAGCCATCAGTAACGGATAATTCCTTCAATGCAAATATAAATTATTAGCTGCCTAATACGTGGTGACGTTTCGAACATACTGAGTAAAAGGGAGAAAGAACACACGAAGATCAAGTAATGTACGGAAAAGATGAACTTCAAATGTCAGCTGAAATTATCTAAATCCACTAACTTGACAAAGAAAAATCTATATCAACAAAATATACCATGGGGTAATCAGGCCAACTACACCAATGGGCTCCTTGAGTACGTAGCCCTTAAAAGAATCCAAAGGGAGAGAAAGAGGAGCCTTCTGCTTTGCATCTAAGCCTTCAGCAAGGTCAGCATAATACTCAAAACACCCAGCAACATCATCCTGCAAGGGTTACAAGCGACCAATGTATCACATCTAAAACAAAAAAAAACGCCAAAATGTTCACAAAAGGAAAGAGAGAATACCATGTCCCAAGCTGCTTCATCTAGAGGTTTACCGCAATCAATAGCCTCGAGATTAGCTAGTTCAGACTTCCTCTCAGTTACCTAGACATATGAATTATCAGCTAAGGCAGGGAGATATCAGAAAAAGGTCACCGATACCTTAGCTGCAATCGCACGTAAGTATCTGGCACGAACAGCCCCAGATGCTCTAGACCAATCCTTTCCTTTGTTTGTCGTAAGTGCTTTCCTAGCAGCTTCCACCGCGAGCTCCACATCCTCAGAAGTTGCAGCTGGAATATAACCTAAAACACCACAAAAGAATCTTTCAAATTCCAATCCAAGTTCATAGTCATCTAAATAAGCGGACGAAGTTCAAAGCTCTCATAGTATACATTAATTAGATCGGCACTACTTATTTCAGCTGATTCAATCAAAATTCGCCAAGTTCGTTCGTTTATGGATCATCCAGTGAGTAGAACAGAAAAGTTTGCATAAATAAGATTTGATGGAGAGGAGAAAATACCGATGATGTCTTCGGTGGCGGGATTCACAACGGGGAGTGTTTGACGGCGAACGGGATCTGTCCATTGACCGCCGATGAAGAGCTGCCGTCTCGGCACCGTAATCGCCATACTGTTCTTTTCTTTTTTCTTTTTGTGATGGATTCTACTTTCTTCTTACTCTTTGACTAATCGTCACAGTTGTTTATAGTATTATTGGTGACAAAATTGCAAAAATACACACTCTCGCTATACTAATTCACATTTCTAAGAAAAGAGACATTTTAAAAAATACAGGATTCATTAGAGGATAAAAATCTTTTATCCCCTTGTACTTTATCTATACTAGGAAACCACCCGGAGAAAATATGTTTTTTTAAAAGTAATTTTTATATAATTTATATTTGTTAGTCAATCATTTTGAATCATTTAATAAACTAATTATTTTGTACGAAAATCAATACTTAAAAAATAATGTTATATAATAGAAGAGTGAAAGTATAATTGTGTTTGAAAATGTATAAATTTAGATGTTATGTGTCTAGCATAACAATATTAAGTAAACTTTAATATTAAAGTCGCAGTCATTTTCTTTTATCTTTTTATATATGAGAAGACAAACTTTAAAAATTTGTTGAAATGATGGAACAGTTTAAACCTTTTAATTAAATAATATAATATTTTTTAAAACACTGTAATTAACATGCAAAGAACGACATTTTTAAATCTATGACGCGCAGTACCTCCATACAAACTGAGTTAGAAAAACAAAAAAAATGGACTTTATCAGAAGAAGAATAAAAGATTAAAAAAAGAGCGATTTGCATCAAAATACCACATAAATTTGAAATTTGCAAATATGGAATTTGGGCCAAAAACACACTGAAACTCAAACTGTTCACGGTCGAATTGACACAATTGCCCCTATAGCTCTGGTGCGGTCAGAAAGAGAAACATGATTTTGTCTCTTCTCTCACGTTTTCTATTTCTGTTTTTCTCTTTCTCTTCTTTTTCTTTTTCTATTCTTTTAACTTTTTCAGAATCTTTTTGTCTCTTTTTTTTTTCTTGACAGATCAAAATTTCAAGAGACAAATTTCAGTTTTATAAAGTATAATCTCTTTTTAATTCGATCTAAAAGCTTTTGTCTATCCAATCATATATGAAGTACAAAAAACAATTTTTACTCTCGGATCACATGCATAATAAATGATTCATTTTGGATGTGATTACACGGCGGTGCATGAACTCATCTCATCACCATCCACCACCGCCTCCACCACTTTACTATGGGTCCGACTGGTTTCCCCGCTACCACCCGCAAACGCAGCTTTTGCGGTTGATGGCGGTTGCTAGCGTTTTGCAACAATCACAAAAACTGCTACAAATCGCTTCAAACCGCTCTCAATCTCTTAAAATCAAAAGCTGGTTTCAGCTAGCGTTTGCGTTTGCGGGCGATTGCGGGTGGGTAAAAAACTATTTTTTTAATTTAAAATTAAAATATAAAAATAAAAATAATATAACTAAAACTATATCTACCTTTTATTTTTTAATTTAAATTCACTAAAAATATCATAATCTATTTATAAGAACTTTAAATCAAGAATTNTAAATATATAAATATATAAATATATAAATATATAAATATATAAATATATAAATATATAAATATTCATATATAAATATAAATAGATAAATAGATAAATATATAAATACATAAATATAATTAATTATATTATAATATTTTATTAATTATATAAATTGTATTTTCATCTAAATAAAAAATAATAAAAATAATATTGTTATTACTTATAATATATTAATAGTTATTATTTTTTATCATAACAGTGTTTTGATATTTTAATAATGTTATAATATGTTAATATTGGAAATTTATTATTAAACCGCTGTAGTATCTCATAATCAACCAGTCATAAATGTCCCGCAAACGCACCAGTTTTTAATCGCGGTACAAGTCGTACAAATCGCCTAATAACGCTAGAAACCGCAACCACCCACATCCGCAAACTCCCGCAACCGCAATCGCAACCGCTGCGTTTCAACCAGTCAGACCCTATGTCAACTACAATCTCCAGTGGATCAGTTAAGGGCAAAGTACCCAAGTAGTTAGTGTACTTCTTCTTGGTTGTTATCATAATTCTTAGAAATATTTTTTATTTTTATTTAATAATAATATAATTTGTGAAATAACTGGTTAACAAATTTTATTTACCTTTTTTCTGTTATAGTTAGCTGGTTACATAAACAAACACATCAATATTACAACTGAAATTACAATATTGATAATATGTGGGTAATATACTTATATATGGTGTTTGGACTAGTGGATGTAAAAAAATTATGTGTTGAACTAAACATAAAATTAACTGTCTAACAAATCACAATACATAGAATTAATTTTTTGTTCGGCTAAATATAAAATTAACTCTCAAACAATTTGCAGCAATAAATTTACGTGTACGGCTAAATATTAAATTAACTATCTAATAAATCGCAAAACATATGACTAAATTTAGTTTTACGGTTACATAAAATTAACCCTCTAACAAATCAAAACATATATAATAAAAATATTGTTAGCCGTATATAATATTTCATATTCAGCTAAACATAAGATTTCCTATTAAAATATTTTATATTCTTTATATGGTTATGCCTATTGTTAGCTGGTTTGGGATACCACATAGCAAATTATTTATGTTTTACTGATATTGTATCTTAAATTGTAATATTGAATTTGTTGTTTGCATTACCATAACCATAACTGGCTAACTATAACAAAAAAATATT